TTCTTGAGCGTGTGCCGCGAGGGGGAGGCGTCCGGCCGCGCCGCGGCCACGCGATGGAGCGCCGCGAGCAGCCGGCGCTTGCCCGCGGCGCCGAGCGCCACGAGCGCGCGCAGGTCGGCGTCGTCGGCCGCCGCGGCGAGGGCCGTCGCGCGCGCCGCGTCCAGATCGCCGCGCTCGTCGAAGCACGCCGCGAGGAGCGCGACGGCAACGGCGACGGAGCGGTCCCGGCCCTGCGCGCAGTGCACGAGGACGCGCCGGCCGGCGGCGAGGTGCGCCGCCGCGAAGCGGAGCGCTCCGGGCAGCCCGGCCTCGAGCCCCCGCCGGTCCTTCTTGCCCTCGGCGACGGGGACCTGGAGGTAGCCGGGACCGCCCATGCCCTCGTACTCGTCCAGGGTCACGTTGACGATGGCGTCGAAGGCCGCCCAGCAGCCCGGCGGCCGCCCCGCGCGGCGCCCGCCGACGGCGAGGTTCTCCGCGACCCAGGAGCACGAGTCCGTGTCCCCGGGCTCGCGCTTCGCGATGGCCGCGACGCGCCTCGCGGCGTCGCGCTCGTCAGTCGACGCCAGAAGCTCGTCCGCGTGGCGCCAAAAGGCCGCCGCCGTGAGGCCGCGCGCCCACTGGTCCTCGTCGTCGGCGCAGCCCTGGAGGTGGGCGTAGCCGTCGCCCGGCGCGTCGTCGGACGCGCTCAGCAGCGCGAGCGGCGTCGCGCCCGCCGCGCGCGCCGCGGCGACGGCCGCGGCGGCCGCGGCGACGACGCCCGCGTCGCTCGCGCCCGCGGCGCGCGCCACGAAGATCGGCGCCAGCGGCGCGGCCTTCAGCGCCGCCAGCGCCGACAGGTCCACGGCGCGCAGCGATTCGACGAACGCCGGGAGCCGCGCCTCGATGGCCTCCGCCTCCGACGCGTCGACCGTCGGCGCGCAGACCAGCGGCGCGTCCGAATCGCCGACGGCGCGGTTCAGGCAGCAGGCCCAGATGGGCACGGTCTTCGCCAGGGCGTCCGGGTAGGACCGGCCGCGGCGCGTCGCGTCGACGACGAGGACGCCGCCGGCCGCGGCCGCGCGCGCCGCGAGGTCGAGGTTCGTCCGCCGCGCCGAGAGCGCCCACTGGCCCGCGTGGCCGTCCGTCGACTTGAAGTAGCACCCGTGGGCCGCGCCGGGCGCGTACCACGCGCCCGCGCGGAGGTTCGCGGCGACGGGCAGCCCGAGCGCGCGGGTCGCCGCGGACACCCAGGCCGCGTCGCGCGATATGCTTCGGAAGCGGTTGACGAGCGTCGCGTCCGCGCCGAAGGCGCGGCGCCGGTGCGCGTGGAGCGAGTCGGCGTGCGCGTGCGCGCCGAGGCCGAGCGCGTCCGCGTCGCTCCTCCGCCGCGCCGCGCGCTGGAAGAGGGACCACTGCCGCGCGGCCTGCGAGTAGCTCAGGCCTCGCGCCGCGAGGAACGCGTCGAGCGCCGCGTCGGCGCCGGGCCGCGGCAGCGCGACGCGCCACGCGGCGCCGTCGAAGAGCGCCCAGAGCGCGGTCTTCGCCTCGGCGCCGATGGGCTTGCGCTGCGGGTTCGCCGTCGTAGGCCGCGGCGGCGCAGCGGTCGCCGCTGCAGACGTCTCAGCGGTCGCGGCGGTCGGCGGCCCAGCGGTCGCCACTACAGCAGCGGTCGTAGCGGGCGCCGCTACAGCAGCGGTCGCAGCGGTCGGTGCCATTCACAGCTGGCGCAGCGGCCGCTCCGTGAAGCAACCATGGCCCATCGATTCGCTCGAGCTCTCCGACGGCATCGCCGGCTTCAACATACACACTGCTGCGACTTTCGACAAGATGAACTGCGCAGCGGACGTTATACGCGCCTCACCGACGGGCCCGCTAGGGCGCGGGCCCGCCCGGCGGCGGCCCCTTGGCCGCGTTCGCCGCGGCCTCGGCGGCCTTGACCTCCGACACGAGCGCCTCGTGCGCGCGGTAGACCTTGGACTGGAGGTAGAAGGAGCCGCCGTTCGCCGGGTCGTTGACCTCGAAGAGGCGCTTATATCTCTCCTCGATGACGGCCATGTTCGTCGCGTCCGCGTCGCCCATGTGGAGGATCTCCGTCGCCTCGGACGTCGTCATCGTCTTCTTCTTCGGCTTCAGCGCCTCCTTCGCCGCCGTCGCGCCGTCCCGCCGCGCGTCTGCGGGCGCACAGGCGTCGGCGCGCGCGACGCGCGCGGCGCGCGCGGCGCGCGCGCGGGGCGGGGCGGGGTGCTACGCACTTTGGAGGGCCTGCTGGTAGGCCGTGGCGAAGGCCCGGAAGATGGGGATCGCCGCCTGGGCGACCATGCGCACGAGCGATCCCCACGGGGCCATCGCGGCTCGTGTATAAAATGGAGCGGCGGTGGTTGTCGACGGCGTCGGCAGCAGCTCCAGCAGCACAGCTCGCCACTGCTCTGTCAGATCACTGTCCCTGCATCGCTGGCCTGCGCGCTGTACGATGCGCGCCTACTAAGAGCAGCCCCATGGTGCCCATGCGACTCCACCTTGGTCTCTGGCTGCTGGCCGCGGCGGCGCGGTGCGAGAGCAACCACAGCGTCATCGTCGTCGCCGGCTTCAGCCACACGGGCACGCACCTCGTGTCCCACGCTCTGGAGGCGCTGGGGCTGCGGTCCCAGGTGCGCGCGTCGCACGCGCCGACCATGGACTGGGCGCAGTTCGAGACCGTCGACGCCGTGCTGGACCACCCGGCCCAGGGCGCCTACGCCGAGGTGCTCCGGCGCTTCCCGAAATCCAAGGTCGTGCTGACGACGCGCGACCGGGCCCGCTGGCTCGAGAGCGTCGCGCGCACGGCGTCCGGCCGGCCCGGCTGCGGGGACGCCTGCGGCGTGCCGCCGCGCGCCGTCGAGCGCCTCGAGCGCTACGACGCCGCCGTCGCGGCCGCGGCGCCGCGGGACCGATTGCTGACGCTCGACCTCGAGGCGGGCGCGGCCTACGGCGAGCTCTGCGCGTTCGTGGGCGTCGACGCGTCGGCCTGCGCGCCCGCGGCGACGACGCTGCCGCGCAACGTCGACCGGGAGCGCGACGAGGCGCCGCGGGCCGACGAGGCCTTCGGGGGCGTGCGGTCGCTGCTCCGGGCCGCGCGTCGATTCGAGGCGCGGAGCGCGCGCCCCGTGTCCTGCGCGTCGTCGCTCGTCGTCTACCCGGGCTTCGAGGCGCTCTTCGACGACGTCGTGGCCATCCTGGACCGCGACTGGCGCTTCGGCGGCGAGCTCCGCCAGTTCCTGCCGGAGGTCTTCGTCGTGGACCGGTTCCTCCGGCACCCGTGCCGCGCGCCGTTCGCGCCCGGCGCGCCCGGCGAGGCGGCGCGGAGCCGCGGCGCCATCGACGGGCCGCCGCGGCTCTACTTCGTGCCCGTGCCCTGGCGCGCGCTGAGCATCCTCGCCGTCGGCCCGGGCAGCCGCGACCTGCCGCACGGCACGGTCCGCGAGTCGCTCTGGGCCCGCGCCGACGCGCTCTTCCGGTCCCAGGTGCTCGCCCACGCCTACTTTGACGCGGACCGGGACCAGCACGTCGTGCTCCACACGTCGACGTCCGCGCCCGTCACGGTCTGGCGCGGCCACGCGCCGCTCATGGTCGACCGGCGCGTGCTCCTGCCGCACCTCGAGGGCTTCCTCGGCGACATGCGCAAGGGCATCTTCGGCGTGGGCCCGCGCACGGTCGTCGTGCCCTACTTCGCGGAGCCCAACGGCCTCCTCGACGCCGCGCTCGCGGACGGCGGCCCCGCGCCGCGGTCGCTCGTCTTCCTCCGCGCGGCGGCCCAGAAGGGCGCCAAGGACCGGGCCATCTTGGCCCCGGCGTTCCGGGACGTCCCGGGCGCCGACGTCGTCCTCGTCGAGCGCCACGAGGACAAGCAGGCGTACGAGGAGACGCTGCGGACGTACGTCGACACGATGCGCCGCATGCGCAACGCGACGTTCTGCCTCGTACCCGCGGGCTACACGAGCTCGAGCCGGCGCTTCTACGAGAGCCTCGCCGCGGGCTGCGTGCCCGTGATCCTGAGCCGCCACTTCCCGCTGCCCTTCGGGCCGTCGTCGGGCGCGCGGAGGCCCGCGCCGTGGGGCGACGCGGTGCTGCGCTACGCGGCGCACAAGGTCAAGGAGCTGCCCGCGTTCCTGCGCGCCCTGGGCGACGCGCGCGTCGCGGCGATGCGGCGCGCGGGCGCCGCGGCGCTCGCGCGCGTTTCCTACGGCAACGAGGCCGGCGAGGGCGCCACGGCCGCGCTCTTCGACCAGCTCGCGCACCTCGTCGCGCCGACGACGAGCCAGCGGCTCCTGCCCCGGGACTGGCCCGCGGCGGCCTCCTACCTCGCGTCCTGCGACGGCGCGGGCCCCGCGTCCTGCGAAGCGGACAAGCGAAAATGCCTCGGCGCGGGCGGCGGCCGCCTCGCGCTCCTCGCGCCCGGCAAGTTCGGCCGCGCCGTCGACGCCGCGACGACGGTCGTCGAGGACGTCGAGCCGCGCGCGCCGCCGGGCCCGCGTCACGCCATCGGCGAGAAGGCGACGGCCCTCGCGGGGAGCGCGCGGAGCCTCGTGGGCTTCGCGGCCGCGCTCGCGGAGCTCGACGCCGCGGGCGCGCCCTGGGTCGCCGTCGACGCGTCCGACGCGGGCTGCGACGCGGCGCGGGCGGTGACACCCGTCGCCCTCGGCGACCGGCGCCTGCTCCTGCGGCGGGGCCCGGGGTCTTTCGCCGCGTCGCCGCTCGCCGCGGCGTGGGCGGCGCGGTGCCTCCCCGCGGGCCTCGTCGGCGCGGGCTGGCCCGCGGTCGACTTCTCCCACGTCGTCGGCGCGCCGCGGGCCCTCGAGCGGCTCTTCGCCAAGGCCGCGGTGCTCGCGGGCACCGCGGCCGACGCGGACTGCGGCAAGAAGCCGCCGCGGGACCTCTACCTCGCCGCGGCGGCGGCCGCGCTCAACGCGTCCCACCCCGGCGCCGTCGGCTTTTTCTAACGCGGGTTACTTGGCGTACTTGAGGTCCTCGATGGCGTCGATGAGGTCCATGGACGTGAGCTTGCCGCCGGTCATCCGCCGCCGCCGCTCGCCGTCCTTGTAGAGGAAGAACGTCGGCACCTCGCTGACGTCGCAGGATCGCGCGATGCGCCGGGCGACGTCGGACCGGTCGCCGACGACGGCGAAGAAGGAGCACTCGGGATAGTACTCGGCGACGCGCTCGAGCTGCGGCGCGAATTTCTGGCAGGGCACGCACGTGCTCGTCGAAAAGTCGACGACGAGCAGCCGGTCGCCGGCGGCGCTCTCCACCGCCGCCTCGAAGTGGTCCAGCGACTCGAACTCGCGCACCGCCGCGCGGCGCACGGCGGATACAGGTCTTCTGTTGGATGTTGGTCGGAGGCCCGCGCAGAGCGTCCACGCCGTCCACGCGAACGCGTGCATGGCAACGATGTTCACGGCGCGCGTGCCGCGACGCAGCCCGCACCTCAGCTCACGAGCAGCTCGATTCTCGTCATCAACATCGGATCAGAAGCCGTCCGTGCACTTCAACCATCGAGTTCATAATGGACGCCCAACGATAATCATGGAGCTCCAAGCGAGCGTGAGCGCGCCCGCGCTGCTGCCGCCGCCGACGGCAGCCCCGCCGGCCCAGGACGCCGCCATCCGCGACGCCTGGGCGCGCCTCGAGGACCTCGACGACGCGCGCGACGCCTGGGAGGCCTGGCGCGACGCTGCGCTGGCGCGCGCCGGCCTGCGCTTCGACACGGACGCCGCGCCCGAGCCGCCGGCCTTCGTGCTCGCGGCGGTCGCGGCGCTCAAGGTCGACGACGACGACGCGGACCGCCGCTGGGCGCTGACGTGGCGGCTCGCGGCGTCCGCGGCGGCGCGCGCGCCGCCGCCGGGGCCGACGTTCGTCTGCTACGTCGGCGAGCGCGACGCGCCGCCGGCGCTCGCGACGGCGGCCGGGCCCGCGTGGTCGGGCTTCGCGTTCGGCCTCGACGCGGCGCACGCGCCGGCGCTCGCCGGGCCCGCCGCCGCGGGGCTCGCGCGGGCGCTCCGCGGCGGCGCGGACGACGCGGCGGACTTCTACGAGCTCCGCGACGCGCTCGCGGTCTGCGTCGTGCGCGCGCGCAGCGGCGGCGTCTTCGCGGCGGCGCGCGTCGTCGAGAACATGCTCGCGGGCGTGTCGCGGGCGCTGCGGCTCCGCGTCGACGCCGTCGCGGCCGCGAAGACGAAGGCGCTCCGCGCGCGGCCGTGGCTCCCCGGCCCCGCGGACGACGACGACGACCTCACGTCGCCCGTCGCCCTCGCCCTCTTCCTCGTCGCCGCCGTCGCCGCGGGCCTGCCGGCGGCGGCGCTGCGCTGGAGCGAGGAGACGACGCGCGACGTCGCGTTCTGGGTCGCCGACCGGAGGCGGCCCGAGCTCCGGCTCCTCGCGCTCGAGGCCGGCGGCGCGCTGGCGGCGCTCCAGTGCCGCGGCGAAGCGCGGCCCGTGCCCTGCGTCGCCGCGGGCCTGCTGGACGTCGCCGCGCGCGCGCTCCGCGACGGCTCCGGCGCGGGGGAGACGCTGTGCGCGGTGTGCGCGTGCGCGGGCCTGCTGCCGGGCGCGCACGACGCCGCCGCGGGCGACGCGGCCCGGGCCGAGTACCGGCGCGTCGAGGACGCCGTCGTCGACGCCGTCGAGCCCTTTGTGCGCACGTGGCTCGCGCTCGCGACGAACTGTTTAGCGGGCGAGGCGCCGGACGCCGCGGGCGCGGCGGCGATCGTCGGCGACGCGCGCGCCGCGGCCGCGGGCATGGCCGTCCTCGAGCACGCCGTCCACGGCTCGAGGGGCGCCTTCTGGCGGCCCCGCGCGCCCGCGCTCATGCGCGAGGCGTTGGACTACCTCGCGGCCGCGTCGCCGGACGCGCTCGACGCGGCGCCCGCGGGCCTCCAGGACGCGCTCTACGACGGCGCGCCGCCGGCCTGCCGCCTCCTCGGGCCCTACGTCGCCACGGAGAAGGGCCGCGAGGTCGTCCCCGACGACGACGCGCCGCTCCTCGCCGTGCTCGCGAACCTCGACGTCGCGGAGCTCGCGGGCAGCGAGCGGCGCGCGTTCCGCTTCGCGCTCGCGGGGCCCGCGCGGCGCGTCGTGCCCTGGGCCGACGCCGCGGACCAGGCGCGGGCCGACGAGGCCTGGGCCGCGGCCTACGAGGCGCTGCTCGCGGCGACGCTCGCGCGGCCGGACAAGGGCGACGACGACGTCGAGATTTTAGCGCACCACCTCGAGACGGAGCTGCGCGACGAGGACAACGCGGCGGCCTTCGCCTGCGTCCTGGGGCTCGCGGACGAGGCGCTCCTCCGCCGCGTCGTCGCGACGCTCGACGACGGCGACCGGGTCCGCGTCGAGGCGCTCGTCGCGGGGACGCTCGCGCGCGCGGCGCCGGACGACGACGCGACGCCCGGCGAGCGGCGCGCCATGGACCACTTCGAGCGCACGGGGGAGCTCGTCCCGCCGGAGCTCCTGCCGGACGCGCCGCCCCGCGACGGCGGCGACGAGAACCGCGACGCGAACGGCCGGCCGCCGAGCCGTCCGGGGAGCCGGCCCCGGGACCGGGGCCGGGACGCCGCGGACGCGCCGCGGCCGCCGAGCCGGCCGGGGAGCCGGGGCCCGGACCGGGACGCGCCGCGGCCGCCGAGCCGCCCGCGGTCGCGACCCCCGGCCACGGCGTCGTAAGGCGATGTTCGGGTGACAGACAGGCTGCCCCGACGATGGCGGCCCTCGTCGAGCAGCCCGATGCACCACCGCCCGACGTCGCCGGCCTCGCCATCGCGCCGCACGCGTCCCTGGGCCAGCAGCTCTTCGGCGCCGTCGAGGACCCGGGCGACGACAGCGACCACGGCGACGACGACCACGCCGACGAAACCTGGCGGCCCAGCGAGGTCGTGCGGCGGCCGTCGGGTGCGACGGACGACGGCTGGCCCGCGGCCCTCGCCGAGGAGCTGCGCTACGACGTCCTCAAGCTCAACAACCTGCGCGAGAACTTCCACAGCCGGCGCGACCGCCGCGTGCTGGGCCTCCGGCCCGACGGCCTCAGGCACGTCAAGGTGTCGCGGTCCGGCGCGGACCTCGTGCGGCGCTTCCACCCCTACGGCGACGTCGCCGCGACCTACCTCGTCGGCGCGGACAAGCTCTGCGTGTCCTACTTCAACGACGTAGACTACGAGTACGTGACGCCGCTCGCGCCCCAGGTCGCGCGCGAGCTCGCGGCGCGCGTCGACGCGAGCCGGCGGCGCGGCGGCGAGGACGGCGGTGCGCGTGCCGTCCTGCCGCGCCGGCGCCGCGGGCCCGCCGTGTCCGACGCGGCGCTGCTCCGCGCGCCGCCCGGGACGGACGGGTCCGCGCGTCCCGTCGCGGCGCCGCGGTCCCCGTCGCGGCGCGCGCGGAAGCTCGAGGCCATGACGGGCGAGTCCGAGGAGGCGCGCATCGGCGTGGCCCTCAGCAAGATCCTGCTCGACGCGGCCGCGCCCGAGGGCCGCGCGGTGAAGCGGTTCGTCCACGCGCAGTCGCGGATCTTGGCGGGCGCGGTGCCCCACGTGACGCTCGCGACGTCGCGCCCGCGGTCCGGGTCCCGGCGGGACTCGGCCAAGGCCAAGGCGCGGGGCGCGCCCATCCGCGCCTTCGTCGACGGGCTCCACGACTACATGATGGAGCACCGCCTCGCGGAGTTCGAGAGCCTCGCCGTCGACGCGCCCGTGCGGCGGCGGCGGAGCTCGCTGCGGGTCCTGGGCGGCGGCGACGACGACGGCGCCCTGCCGTCGGTGGAGGAGACGCTCGCGCGGCTCCTGGAGGACTGCGTCGTCGTCCCCCTGCTGCCCGCGCTCCAGAGGCGGCTCGGCGTCGACGCGGCCGCGGAGGCGCGCTTCGCGGCGCGGCGCCTGGAGCTGCGGGCCGTGCCCCCGGCGAAGCTGGGCCTGCCCAGGGGGCTCGACGGCGCGGGCTACTGGCGGCCGGCCGTGCGCGCGCTCGGCGCGCTCGACGCGTCGGACGCGCCGAACGCGCAACTTGCGGCCATCGTCGACGCGGCGCGGTGCATCCACGACGAGCACGCGGCCCTGGTGCGCGCGCGGGACCTCGCGGGCGGCGACCGCGGCGACGGCGCGGTGCCGACGTTCCTCGCCGCGGACGACTTCCTGCCCGTGCTCATCTTCGCCGTCGTCCACGCGAGCCTAGACCGGCGGCCGCTCCTCGCGCGGGCGACGCTCTGGGCCCTCGCGGACCCGCTCATGCTCCAGAGCGAGCCGGGCTACTACCTCACCATGTTCGACGCCGCCGTCGAGTACGTGTCCTCGGGCGACGCGCGGCGCGACGCAGTCGCGGAGGACGAGCCCGAGCCGAGGGACGAGCCGAGGGACGAGGGGGCCCTGGAGCTGCGGCCGTTGTAATGTGATCGCAGCGCGAGAGTTTCGGCCGCCGACGAGTCCCGAAGAGGCGAGCTGCTTTACGAGCGCGCGAGTCGTTGACCGGCGCAGTCTTGGCGCGGCGTCACGGTGCCTTCAACAATGCCTCAACAACGCGTTTCTCGATTCTGGTGCTCGCCCCGGCACCACCACCGCGCCGTCGCCGCCTCGCTCGCAACCAGCACGATGGCCACCGAAGAGCCGCCGAAAAAGGAGTACAGCCTCCTCGCGCAGTGCGTGGCCGAGGCCTTTGGCACGTTCTGCATCGTCGCCGGCGGCTGCGGCGCCGTGGCCGCCTCCAAGTACGCGCCGGCGTCGCAGATCACGAACCCCGCCGTCGCGGCGTGCTTCGGCGGGTCCGTGGTCATGGGCGCCTGCTCGACGCGCGAGATCTCCGGCGCGCACCTCAACCCGGCGATCACGGCGACGTCGTACGCGCTGAACATGCCCGACGACTCGGGCGTGTCGTCAAGCAAGGCCGCGGCGTTCGTCTTCAGCCAGGTCGTCGGCGCGACGGCGGCGGCGGTGCTCAACTTCGGCATGTTCAAGAACGCGATCCGCTCCCAGGAGGCCGCGGCGAAGACCGCGGCGGAGCGCGGCGCGGTCTGGGCGGGCGCGTTCGGCGTCGGCCACGACGCGGCGGCGCTGTCCCACCGGGGCCTCTTCCTCACGGAGGTCGGCACGACGGCGACGCTCCTCTTCCTCATCAACTCCATCAACGACGACGACCTCGCGTTCCCGGGGAAAGACGCGGGGCCGCTCTTCGTCGGCGGCACCGTCGCGCTGCTCATCGTCGCCACGGGCACAATCTCCGGCTGCGGCATGAACCCGGCCCGCGACTTCGGCCCGCGCCTCATCACGGCGCTGGCCTCGGGCCCGAAGGTCGCGACCGCGCAGCCGGCCTGGATCTACTCCGCGGGGCCCCTCGCGGGCGCCTTCGTCGGCTGCTCCGCGTTCAAGGCCTTCAAGGGCCTGCTCGACGCGTGAGTGGGGGGGCTTTTTTGATGTGTGCCGCTAAGACACACCTTTGGTTTAGTTCTGCGGGCCCGGGGGGAGAAACTTGTGCGCTTGGTTTTACCCCCGGCCCCCGAGCTGGCCGGGGCAAAGTCGTCCCCTCGCCTCGCCCAAAAAGCTCGCTCACCGCAATGGCCCGCGTCTGCAGCCGCTTTGGCCGCCACTAGCAGAGATATGCGTCGATTGAGCAGACGTGCCATGGACGACGCCCCGCTCCGACGCTGACGTCGCCGCGCCGTCGGTTCGCTCATTCGCCGCCTCGCCGACGCTCTCCCGCGCCGCGGCCTCCATCGCGAGGACCGCGGTGCGCGGCGGGCTCGCGGGCGCGGACGGAGCGTTAATACACCGAGCGGTTGCGGCGGCGACGGCGGCGACGGCGCCGCTCGCTCCGCCGCCGACCCCTGAGGGGGCGCGCGGCGGGCCGGCGGCGGCGACGTCGGAGCGCGGCGCCGGCCGGCCGCCGAGAGAGTAAAAGAGAGACGACCGCCGCGCCGGACCGCGACGCCCGACGCCCCGCGTGCTCAGGTTTCATCCACCATGGGCGTCCGCACGAAGACGGTCAAGCGCTCCGCGCGCCTCATCGTCGAGAAGTACTACTCGCGCCTCGGCGTCGACTTCCACACGAACAAGCGCGTCTGCGACGAGGTCGCCGTCGTGCCCTCCAAGCGCATGCGCAACAAGATCGCGGGCTTCGTCACGCACCTCATGAAGCGCATCCAGCGCGGCCCCGTCCGCGGCATCTCGCTCAAGCTCCAGGAGGAGGAGCGGGAACGGCGAATGGACTTCGTGCCCGAGGTCTCGGCCATCGACCAGGACTTCGTCGAGATCGACCCGGACACGAAGGAGATGCTCGACGCCCTCGACTTCAAGGACCTCCCCGGCATCCAGGTCTCCAACAGCGCGTAAGCGCGCGCCGCGGCGCCCGCGGGCCGCCGGCCCCTCGCGGGCCGGGCCGAGACCCCCGCGGCGCCACCCCAAAAACACCAACCTCTAACGATCCTTTTCGCCACATGTTCGAGCGGAGTTCGCGCCCGTCTTCTGCCGGTGGCTGGGTTGGCCAGGCTGCGACGTCCGGTCGATCGTGATCGACGGGGTCGGACGTAACGAAAAAAGGGCACTTTTTTGGACACGGCACCTATTTCGTGCTGGCCGGGGGTGGAGCTGAAACGCCGACAGTGTCGGCGTTTGAGGAAGAGGCTCCGACAGGCCAAGTCTTGCGATGTGTGCGCCCCCTGGAGGCCCACCGGCGGTCACACCGTGTCCTAGGGGTTCACATGGACGCCGCTGACCCGCGGCGCGCACCAATTCGGTGCCGGCGGCGCGAGCCGCAACGGTTTCGGACCGAGCGCGACGCCGTGGCGCCGGGGCCAGAGCGGCGCCCGCCGACGCCGTGGACCGTACCCGCGCCCCACACACGCCCACCGTATGCTGATCGACGCGCTCCGCCGAAAGATCGTTGGAAATCGCTGGGAATCCGGCCGCGGCGCGCCGCGAACTCGCTCCGCCGTAGCGCGACACCGTGGCGCCGAGGGCCAGGGCGGCGCCCGCCGACGCCGTGGACCGTACCGGCGGCCCAGACACGCCCACCGTATGTTTTCGACGCGCTCCAACAACAAATG